CACTATGTGGAAGGCAAAGGGTATCCCACAGAGTACAACAAAGATTTCAAAGAAGCCAACATTAACGACTTGGTTCTACTTATAATTCTACCTATACTCACGGCCTTCAGATGTCAAATGGGATGTGAGCTTCACCTACGAAGGGAGAAAGAAATAATTTCTGTGGACTCAGAGACTGGGGGCTATCAGGAATTTGTTGTAGTAGACATGATCGGGGTGGGGAACTGGAAGTTTGTTTTTGTGCTGAAAGCAAAAAAGTCCTCGATTGGGGAGGCCATGAGGCAATATTTGCTGGCAATGAAAGATATCAGAGAAAATAATGGTGGAGACATAGTGTATGGTTTTGTTACCACCACGGAAGAGTGGAAAATGGTCCGATATGAGGGGGGTGTTTTTACTCAGACACATAAGTTTCAAGCATTGTTTGAGAATATAGAACAAGGTAAAGAGAGATGGATGAAGGAGGCTTCAGTTGTTGTAGACTGTATTCACGAGGCTTTTAGAAGTGGAGGATTTGTGGTCGAGAATTGAAGGCGAGCATCTGGTGGAAGGAATAGGGTTATCGGAGTGAGCATCGTAACTAGTATCGTAGCTGGTCACACTTCGACTACGTCCGTGATGGGGGGAAAATCTGCTGTCGCTGTCGTCCTCATCCAGGTCTTTATTAATGAGTACATATTTGTCGTTAGAACTAAAGGCATCCTTGGTGGTTTCCTCAATGTTATGTCCTGCCGAGCTAGGTCTTCGAATGGGGAGACGCTGTGTTGGCGGAAATACCAGGTGGCATAGCCCGTGGCCGCAGTAGTTCCAAGCCAAAAAAACATGCATCAAGTCAATGAGGAAAACGATGGAGCTGAGGAATGAATGGTGTGCAGGGTGGAGGGGGGGGGGCGGTTTACCACAGAATCACAACTGAGTCCGACCGCTGCTTGGTTCATCTTACATGCTATGGGGTCCTCACTGGTTCCAGCGGGAAACAATGCACATCTACCTTCTTTCTTGATCTTACACTCTTTGTCCTTCCCTTTCTCCTCTCCATCAGAGGTCCCGCTGTTAGTGTGACTAGTGGCAGAAGGCCGCGAACTAGAAAGTCTGCGTCTAGTCAGTTTCCCCTCGAGCGTAAGAAACGAAGAAACAAGAGAAAACACAGGGTCAGGTATACCAGCGCCGGAAGTGCAAACCAACACTACCATAGGTAGACGTCATTGTCAGTTTTCACGACAGTCTGCAAGAGTGTAGATGGGTGGACGGATACAAACAGAGGACGGAGGAACTCACCGTTGCAAACAGGTATTTTACCGCACTACTCGCTTCCCCTTTGCCGACATGCTTGCTATAACCATCCCTATTAGTACCATGCTTCATAACGCCTGAGTCATGACTCATTGCAATTTTTTTTTTTGCGAAAGTGTTTTTCTGTCCCTGGTGGAAAAACTCGGAGTATCGCAGACAAGGGGACTGGTCAAGGTTGGTTCAGGCACAAGTAAGTAATTGAGCAAATTCCATATAAACTCATGCTATCCGCTATCTCAACCGGGCCTCTTATCTCCGTCATGTTTCTAAAATTGGAGATTAGTCGCCAGGCAGAGATAGTGGATAACATGAGTTTTTGCAGAGGTCTTTTTTTGATAATCTGGCTAATTATTTCTAGTGTTTACTGGTTTTAAAGGCGATTGGACGGGCTCATCCGAAAAGCTTCCCGACGCATATGTGCTGCAGCCTGACACAGCGTTTCCCAGTATAGTATGTGAAGCTGGATGGACGGAAGGGCATGAGGAATTGATGAACGATGCACGGCTCTGGCTGCTGCATACCGATGGCCAGACGCGAATTGTGATTGTTGTTTCGTTTAGCGAAAGCAGTGTAAAGCATTGCCTGCAGGCCTCAAACCATGACCCGGAGGAAGAGCCTGAGGAACAGCGACATGAAGGCACTTGTGAGGAGGAAACTGTCATTGACAGTGTTGATGCGGCAACGAACTTAAATGATTTAGCCGACAAGCTGAGAGACCTTAATCAGAGAGACAAGCTCAAACAGCCCTTAATTGGCAACTT